GAGAGAGAGAGAGAGAGAGAGAGAGAGAGAGAGAGAGAGAGAGAGAGAGAGCTGACACGTGGCACTTCGCGCAATGGTACCGTATCGACGACAACAGGCAGCGAGGACGAGCTGGGAAACGGGCAGCGACGACGGCCAGCGGCGGCGGCAGTGACGACGGGCACCTCGGTGATGGCGGGCAGCGACGGGCGTCGACGGCGGGAGCACTACCTCGGCGAAGGAGCGACGGGCGTTGACAGCGGGAGCACTACCTCAGCGAAGGAGCGACCGGCGTCGACGGCGGGAGCACTACCTCGGCCCTGGCAGCCGACATCACTTCGACCACTTCACTGGGCAGCGGCGGGAGCAGCTCGATTCTTCGAATTTGAAGCAGGCGCGCGGCGGAAAAATTTTGCGCAGGGCGGCGGGGAGGCTCCCAAGGCCCAGAAAAGTCAAAACAGGCCTCCCCCCCCTCCCGCGCAAAAATGCGCTGGGCCCGCCCAGCATCGAACTGGGGGACCCAACCGGCCGGGCCGCCGGGACCCCTGCCGGACGGAGGCTGGGCCGCCGGGCGGCCCGGAATTTAACACAGATCCTATTCAGATTCTCCAAAGCATCGAGTCTTATAAATAGTTAATAATATGTTAATAATACTTATTATGCGGTCAATAACATTTACAATCTCAAAAACCAAATGTTAACACAGTATATTGAGTTCACATTTGGCTTCCAGATAGCAAATATCCTTTCGCCCGATAACAAGGCCACTGTGTTCCCAGTGGACTTCCAGACAGCACAAGGGGTTGCAGATGGGAGATGAGAGGGCTCAGTAGTAGGGCACAAGAGGTAAAAAACAAAACAAAACAAAAAGAAAAGTAGGGCACAAGGGGTTGCAGATGGGAGATGGGGGTACTACAGTGGCCCTCAGGAGTAAAGAGCAAAAGCGACAGACAGACAACCAAGAGAGCACCAGAAGGTTTAAGCGGAAAAGAAAGAGGACAAAAGGATCACGGCCTTTTTGGCTTTCTGAGCATTTTTTAATTTTCCATTTAAGATATAAATAACAGATGCATGTGTTATGATTCTGGTTGTTTGTTGCCTGAAGGCCAACACTCACACACAGAGACTTCCAGGTATGCCCATAAATACACAGAAGGAAGGGGAGAGGATAGGAGTATCACACCGCACAGGGAGATATAAACACAGCGGAAGACTTGACCATGCAATATGACAGGGTACACTGAAAGTGCAATTGACTCCACTCAATCCTCACAACCAGTCATAGAGAAAAGCCGAGCGGATCACATCCAGGAAAACAATGAAACGATGATAGTCCAAACCCAGTTATACACTGTTTATTAAACTCAGAGTCTCGAATTGTCAGGATAACTTCAGAACTACAGTATGCTGCTCAGAAATGAGCAGCGCTTCACTCCCCAACCCTGAATAACACCCGTAACACCCCTGAGCCCCTGAAACATCAAGCGCCACCCAGATACAGCCTCCTGAGGGAAGCGCCACCCTGAAACAGGCCTCTGAGGCCAAGCGCCACTCAGAGGATGAAGAAGAAGACCAGCGCCACAGTATCTGATGATGACGAAGTGTCGGAAGACTTCCCGAGTGGAAGTCTGCAGCAGCGCCTCCAAACCCTGACAAGGTGACCTCTGAGGAAGAAAGCTGCAGCTATGGCTGCTGCGCCAACACCCTGGAACCCCACTCCGGAGGAGGGTCCAGCAGGGCACCAATCTCTCTCGCCTCCAGCAGACCTCGATAGCCCAGACCTCTGTCAGCCCCTGCGTGCTGGCAGAGTACAGCGCAGGTGCCAGCTATGGCCGGCGCTCCAAAGGTCTGGCTATGCCTGTCTCCGTCCACGCTGAGCCGTCACCACTTCCGGCTCACGCGTAGCACAGCAGCGATGTACACGATACCAACTGCCAAAAGCCCTGAACCAATGTGCCCATCCTATCTATAGACTACAACTAGCCTAGACTCGACCTAGACCGGACTGACTGACCGACCGGTACCGGCCTCTCGGCCTCTACCGGACCCGGCTATAGGCTATAGGACCATCTATCAGAATAGGCCCTTAGGGCCTGTCTGTCCTAGGGGTAGCCCGGGCCTGCTAGTCGCAGTTAGGGTAGCTGTAGGGAATCCTTTTGGTACCGGGTCTGCATTTTCCCGGATTTGCAGATATGTCCCTCACTAATTGCCCTCACAGGTAGGTCTCTCGGTTAGCCCTCAGCCAAACAAAATTGCGAATCTGTCCTACCTATAGTACAGCCTCGACAGAGAGAGGCTACAGGCAACCAGAAAACAGCAAGTCATTGCACATATGTCAAAAAAGTAAAAACAAAGCCTGGAAAAGGCATTTCATGGTGCTAATAGATTCTTTGTATTTGACCGCGTTGTTCAGCACGAGCACCGCTCACATGTCAGAGGTTTCTGAAGTAATGTGTGGCGGCTGTGGGACCTGAAGGTCATTAAGCCATGGTAGACATACAAGGGGAAAACATTGTCAGGGGGTGAGGAGTTATTTTCTGTAGTGGTTCAATTAGCGCAATTGCAATCTAGAGAAAACGTAACCCTCTCTCCTCCAATGGAAACTCAGAGGTGAACTCAAAATGGTGAAGCAATACTGATTCGAGTAAGCTTAATTGCAATGTAGAGTCATTGCATCCTGGAGCTAGAGAAGACGTAACCCTCTCTCCTCCAATGGAAACTCAGAGGTGAACTCAAAATGGTGAAGCAATACTGGCCCTAAGCGATACGTGATCTATCTTTTCTTTTTTTTCTTCTTTTTTTTTTCTTTCAAAACAACACATGCCCCATCTATTCTGGGGGGCGTCAGTCCGGCTGCTCATCACCAGCAAGCACGTTTGTACATGGAAAAAAGCAGCAAGAAAAAAAAGAAGGTGAGACAGACAAGACAAAGTTACAGCCACCCTTGCAGCTCTAGCCGCGTGCACATGGAGGGGGCTGCTTCGGCCGTTCTCCCCCCAGACCACAACTTGTTTGTGCAATCAGACTCGTTCTCAAACACACTTTTCATGCATGTAAACAGCAACGCAGCATACTGGCAACATGAGCCCACTCAAAACTCAGAGAAATGGCTTTCAGGCACGAGTTCACTCTTAATTGGCTATGGCGACTTCAGCGCCCAAACATCTCACTGTTCACATACACTGGATCACCCTGGATATCCCACACGCGTCACTCTAACACTCGAGCACACACACCCACTACTAACTGCAGCTATGGCAGCTATGGCTGCCTCTAACCTATCGCTATGCTAACTACCTCTCTCTTGCCCACTGCGTCCTCCGGGCTCATCTGCAGACCTCCTTGCACAAGTCGCTGTGGCAGCGCTTCCGCATGGCTCAYGCAGGAATGAATGAATGGCTGGGCGCTGCCTCTTGATTTATACTTCAGAAACTCGTTGGTCTGCCCTTTGCCATCGGCCCTTGGTGCTCACAGTCCCCCTATGGTACTTGCTGGACCRGACTGGGACTGACTGGACCTTCSGCTGACTGACTRTGGACTCACCGCTATCCTACCGACGTTRWAYTGCGGTTGCACTGCGGTTTAGTCCACCAYTTGCCTCACCACTTGACCACTTGCCCACTTGCCTACCTTCTAGAAGGTCTACAGCTAAGCTTCCGGAACTCACTAAGACTCCTACGCTATAGACCTACAGATCGAACCCCTGCTGCCTATGGACCTACGACAGGCCTACCAACTGCCTACGAATACACAGGTCACAGGTTCAATTCCCGGGGCCTACACAGATACTGTACATGGGTAAGACGAGGGCTAGGGATCGAACCCTGGGTACTGCATCCGCTACTGCTAAAGGTGAAAACCGTTTCATTTGCAGGGATTCACTTGCTGGCTGGGAAGCTTACCGAGACACGCAGCGGGTGGATCCTGTAAACGGTAAGGAGCAGGTGAGATCTGCCTTGCAGCCTCACAGGTGTGCAATACCACTTATGTGTTCCTTCCTATAGTAGTTTCCCTACCTTCTGTTGAGTACTACAATCCTCCCCTTGATACGTGATTGATCTTAAATCGACCTTTCTTTGTTTTTTTCAATGTGCAGGGGCCATGCTAATCCTCTCATTGCCATTCCAATTTTAACGGATGTCCCCAAGGACGATTATATCGACCTTTCAAAGTACGCTCAGACTAGAGCCAAACAGATAAAAGATGAAGATATCATATATTGTTGATCCCGGAGTCTTTTTTGTTTCTTTTTCTTTTTTTCCTTCTTCAAAACCAGCTCTCTTATTATTATTATTATTGGCTGGGAACCAGGCCCAACGTCCGTCACATCATTTCACTGATTCCACTGCAGTCAGCGGGATGGGCGAGGCACACCAGCCAAGTGTTACATGCTGCGCCTGCAACATGCTGCGCCTACAACAAGGGCCATTTTCAGGCCCCGTGTCGTTTCAGCCTGAAAGCCTGAAAACAAGGGCCTACAGGCCCTGTGTCATGTCAGCCTAAAAAACAGGGCCCTCCCGGCCCTGAGTCTTTTCAGCCTGAAACGGAGGGCCATTTTCAGGCCCTCATAAGATCGACCTGCCCTGAAACTCAGGCACCAGACCAGGGTTTTAGCACAGGCCATTTTGGGCCTGTTGTCAAGACACTTTGTTTGAGCTTCAACGCCAGGGTCTGGCACGTTTTGGCATTTTGCAAGAGCAGCCTCCTGGACGGGCCAGCACTATATAAGACTGGCCCACCCTACAGGCTGCAGGTAGTTCATAGGGACTTCCCAGGCACTTCACGTGCAGTTCAGGAGGCAGGAGGTAGTCTTCAGGATTCGGTAGCAGCACTCTGGAAAAGCGCTGCAGTAGTAGTAGTAGCGTTAGCAGTAGCCTTCAGCGCTGGGCGCTAATAGGAGCTAGAGTAGCACTGGAGAGAGAGAGATTAGACCGGAGACCAGGGAGGCTTACCTGCAGCGCCATAGCTCCAGCTTCGTCTTCAAGGTACCTGCAGCACGGCGCCACCTTCAGAGGTTAGTACCTGGCATATGAGAGAGAGAGAGAGAGAGAGAGAGAGAGAGAGAGAGAGAGAGAGAGAGAGAGAGAGAGAGA